CCCATGGCTGTTACCTCTAGAAAAAAAGGACAGCAAGGGGTCAAGAATTATTCTACTCTACTCATGCTCAGATGAATAGGAATTAGCAGTAAAAGTAACAGTTGGTGGGCATCCAGGGGTATTATGGACCAGCCTAATAATGTATTACAAAGAACTACAGCAGCTAAAAATAAGAGTACTCTAGTGGGACCTAACTTAACAGGTAACCTCAAATGACACGTTCACACTGTGTATCAGATGAACTTTACTGAGACCATAACACCTTAAAAACTAAAAAATTAGCTTAATTCTAAGAAAAAGGTTAATTTCTAAAAAAAAAATACCCTCCTAGGTAAAGAAAATACTTCCATGTAAATGAAACTGTTTTGAGACTGAAATCAAGAGAGATTCTTTGATGTTTATGAAAAGCTCCTATATTTACACAAGAATAAATGATACCATTCTGAAGATGACTTGTAATCTCTTACCATTTGCATATGGTGTGACCATCTTCTTATTGGTCATTACACGTGCTGTAGCATTATTCACCTAAAAATAGAAAGGGGCAGGGGAAAAGTAGACCACATTAAGAAACATGATGTTGCTCATCCAATAACATAGTACTCAGTTTAAAATGTAAATTTTAAAGAGCATTGATTTAAATAATATAGCAATATAAAATATTAATATAAGTATTTTAACTAAAGTGTTTATTAAATGAGGCTAACAAGAGTAAAATGCAGTTTCTTAGTCTCCAAATGGAAAACTAGGGCCACTTTACCACCCAGTACTCCAAAGAAAAAATACATTTGCAAGTTCTTCAGAGATCTCTTAATCAAAGAAGTCTCTATATTAAGAAAAATACGGGAAAATAGTAAATTAGAAACATGAACTCGGAAGTTCAATAAAATAGAGGAAATAGATTTACAGGAGGATAAGAAAATAAACCTGTGAATTTAACCTATTCTAATGTTCAGCATTTTGAGTATGTTTGTACAAGATTTTACTGTTTGAAGTTAGTAAACAAATATAGGAACTTAGATTTCCATGTTCACAGTCTTCAGAACCACTGTGAATTTTCTACACCATGTGGTCTAGTCATTTATGAATCAAGTTTTCAGAAGGCCTTTAAATTAGGCACTTAAAATAACTGAAAAAAATAAAGCCTGTTTCCTGTCTGATGGCCCTCTCCACCGTCGTCACAGAACGGCAGAATTCAAAGCGTTCTCGGTGCCAGGGTCAGGGCGTAAAGGATGGTGCTGGCGAAGGAGGAGGCGAGCAGCTCCGGAGCCCGGGCAGAGCCAGCTCACAGCTCCAAGGAGGCGCAGCCTGACCGCAGCACTTGCTTCTACACTGTGTTGTCAGGTCATAAAACAGGTCCGTTTTGAAAAAAATCATCAAATATACAAAATATAAATATGTCTTATTTGGCCTCTGGGGATTTACATGCTAAATTTGTATAGTGATAAAATTGTGTTATAAAAAGACCAATTTTAGAATTGGAACTAAAAAAATGCTTTCATATGTCTTTAGGATTTGTATAGTGGTAATATTTCTGTGAGGAAAAGAACTTGAAACTCCATTTACTCTAGTTTAACCCAGCAAAAAATACAAACATTTCACATTTAAAAAGAAAGAATGGGATACAACAATGATGAGACTGAGAGCATGCTGTTAAACACACACACACAAGTAAAGAAAGGAGAAACAATCACTTTGGGGGCGAAGGGAGAGAGGAGCGGGACTCCCACGACAGGGATGAAATGAGGCCAGAGCTCCCACCAGCTGCAGGGGCAGAATGCACCCAAGCACTTAAAAGAAAAATGGCCAGAACCAATCAGAGCCCACCAGTCAGCACGAGACCAAGGGCTGCACAGAGCAGAAAGGGGGGGAAAGGAAGAGGGGGGACGGGAGGAACAGAACTTGGGTCAAGAGACCGAGAAAGGGGAAAAGGGAAAGTCAGGGAGGGTGTCACGGGCAGGAAGGGCAAAGAAAGAACAGTCACAGCTCTAAACAGAGGTTTGGGAAAGAGGAAAAGTGGGGGAGGAAGTAGGGGCAGGAAGTGCATTAATAAAACCAGCCAAACTGGAGTTCAGTAACTCTGAGTAAGATGTGCAAGGGGGGAATCACCATGACGTCAGTATCAAGCAGCTCAGACTGCTACAAAACAATGTACATCCAAAGTCCAGGCGGCATTGCTCAACAGCATCGAAAATAAAGGGGGGAGGGAGAGGAAGGGGAGCAACAAGTCAAATCACATTTTGTCGTGTTAATGTGAGATGGCAGATGGACCTTTTCTTTCTTACTTAATTGTTTTGTAATTACATTTTATAAAGCTTCTTCTCTAGTGCTTTGGTTTCACTTACCGCCAACGGGCACCATCGCCAGCATTGTGTATAGTTACCATGGAAAGAGTGAGTCAAGTGAAGGGCCCTAAATGCTAAACCATTGGAAAGGGAGGGGGGAAAAAAGCAAAATATGCAGACATCTTACTCAAAATGGTGGCTTTTATATTTCATACTTTTCAAAATTGGGAAAGGGGAAAGGAGCCAGTTAACCTTCATTGCCTTATTAAGAAAGAAGCGCTTGTGAACGCCAGGTGGCTGACTCAATCATGATAGCACATTCACCAGGCAACCATCAAACCCTCGGTTTGAGTATTTTACCCATTAACTGCTGAAATTCTTGACATTAAATATATCTAATGAGTTTTGGATTCCCCTCCCCCCAACCTCTATGATCTTCTCTATTTCTTACCACATACATGGAGGCGAACTGGCCTCCTGAGAGAGAGGGAGGGCATTGGCTGGCCCCGTGATTTATTACAGGACACAATGTTACAAACTGGATAGAGATAGACATTTTTAAAGTTAGTTTTATTTTGGCCTGATCACAGGAATTTGGAGTCTTGCAAACTGAAGCAAAGGAAAAAAATCAAGAGAGCAGAAGGATGAACACTTTGAAGGAAAAAAGTAAATGAAAAATACACACACACACACACACACACACAAGTAAAACAAAATTAAAACCCCCAAACAACAAAAAAAGGTGGGGGAGGAGGATTGAAGTGTTACTTTTATACATTTTAGTGCAAGAAGGTGAAGGACACAGAGACACAAACACACATACATGTGTGCACGCATACACACAAACAAGACAGGGCTCCAAATGTGAAATAAGTGAGGCAATACAAAAGAGAGAAACAAAAATATAAACCAGAAATTGAATTATTGAAGACATGCACCTCGATTTTACGGCCCTCTACCACGGTGCCGTGTAATTTCTCCCTGGCCCTGTCTGCATCAGCACTATTCTCGAAAGTTACGAACCCGAATCCCTGCATGCAGCGGGAGAAGGGGGGAAAACATGCACATCGTTATATTGAAATACTGATCTCTTGGTAAATAGAGAAAAAAAATATCACAGTATGAAACTGACATCAGCAACAACTCAGCAATATGCTCCTGAAGTCACATTTTTGGACCATGCACATTTTGTAAAGGGAAATTAAATCCAATAAGAGAATAAATAACTGTAGTGGTAGTAATAATAATAATATAATTAACAATAACAATAATAAAATAAAACATAAAGCATGTGAGGCCAGACCAAAATTAAGGTATAGAGTTACTCGGGTCAAATTACTCAACCAAGAATGAGTATTTTTTTAAAATGTCCTACCTTTCTCTCTCAATTCATGCTGCTAACATACGTGTCCCTTTATGTAAGACTAAAGAATACTTACTTAAGTTGATGATTCCCTAGTAACTTCCACATGAAACATGACATTTAAGTATAATCATTATATAATGAGGTTTTTAGGAGGCCTAATCATTTGAGCCCCCACACTTTGCCTTTTGCTTATTCCACCATTAATTCTTTTGGAAATAGGATAATTTAAGACACAATCTTGAAGTATAATTCTGTGGATATTGGGTGTTTGTCTAAGCAAATGAAACTATCACTAAGCAGTGGTCAACTATGACCTTTCTTCAGTGGTAATTCTAAACGACCTGACTGGCACACAGAGTAAAAATATAGACGTGAGCAAAAGTAGGTTTGCATTTGTAAGTACACGAGACAATTTATTCTTGTATTATTTATTTATTATTATCTTCCATACGAACAACTATAAGCCTACTTCTGCCCACCCCCATGTTCAGCTAAATTTCAGAAAATTATTTATCCAAATTTGCCTAAGTTGTACATCTGCTGACACCTGTGTCTGCTACTAAATGTATTAGCAATTGTCCACATATAGAGAAAAAAGGAGCAGCCAAAAAGGCAATGGGAATGAAATCTACGTTAGTGATACCAGTTGCATGCTACTCAATAGGAAAAGAAAGAAAGCAGCAATATAGTTGCTACCTTGAGTTAGGATTAATTCATTTGTGCATTGTAGATACTGCAAAACAAAAACAGCCCACAAAGCTTTAATTCACTAAGTGGACAAAGCAGGAGCCCAGAGCTAAGCCACTTCACTGTTCCCACGGTATCTGGAAAGACCGTATGAGGTATGGGTTACAATCATACCGTTAATTTCACCATCTGCAGGGTTTGCTCTACTCTCATACAACCATTGCATAAAGCATCACACCAGATTCATTTTAGGTCGCTGTCCTTAGCTTTCCACTCTGCGACTATAAAATTTTCTCACTCTATCTACATCTGTAGAGTGGTAAATTCTTAGAATTTTCTGGGAAAGGCCTCATTTTTTTCAATAGCTTCATTGTTCCTCTAGTACTTTTTAAAAAGATTTTTAAAAATTGATTTTGAGAGAGAAACATCGATCAGCTGCTTCTTGCACACCCCCGACTGGGGATCGAGCCCAAAACCTGGGCATGTGCCCTGACCAGGAATGGAGCCTGCAATCCTCCGGTGCACGGGTTGATGCCCAAGCAACTGAGCCACACTGGCCAGGGCCTCTAGCATTTTTTGAACGTCCATTGTAGGATAACCTGGAACCCTTTATGTTACTCAAGTTCTGCTTTACAGCTTCATACCATGAATCCTACACATACACAAAACATGTTCTGAGATGGTAAACAGTGTGCAGTGTTCAATAAAATTCTATGGAAGCAACTCCATCATTTTGAAGGATATATTACTCAGTATTTTACACGATTATATAGCTGGGCAGTGAACCATGGAGGATTCCAATGGACCATCTCTATCTTCAATTTGTATATTACCACAAATACCCTAGAATGTGCAATGCTAAGCTGATAGAAAACTTTAAATATATGTTCCTTGGGATAGAATATTATGGGTAAGTTTAGTTAATACTTCCCTTAAAAATGTAAATGTGTTAAAACTATCAATAGGAACACATTTTGAAAATCAAATTTTATTTTATTTTTTAAAAAATATATCTTTATTGATTTCAGAGAGAAGAAAGGAGAGGGGGAGAGAGAGATGGAAACATCAATGATGAGAGAGTCATTGAATGGCTGCAGCCCACAACCCGGGCATGTTCCCTGACCGGGAAACGAACCCCGATCGCCTGGATCCTAGGCCGATGCTCAACCGCTGAGCCACACCCGGCTGGGCGAAAATCAAATTTTGATGTCAGCATGTACAGGTATACAAGGGCAAGTTACTAATTAATTATACCATTTGTTGTCTACACTAGATCTGCTGAAGACAGGAAACCAGTTCTCCAACTCTGGAGAATCTTAGAAAAAGTTAAATCTTTTAAGATATCACAGATAGTGATGAGTTTTTACACCACTTTTATAAAACAGATTATGTGCAGACTAAAGCAAGGCTTAAAATTTGAGCATTATGACTATACCTACCTACATACATATATACATGTTTGTCTTTTAGTTATTTATTTTTAAAATATATCTTTACTGATTTCAGAGAGAGGAAGGGAGAGTGCGAGAGAGAGAGACAGAAATATCAATGATGAGAGAGTCATTGATCGGCTGCCTCCTGCACGCCCCCGACTGAGTATCGAGCCCACAACCGGGGCATGTGCCCTGACCGGGAATCGAACCTCGATCTCCTGGATCCTAGGTCGATGCTCAACAGCTGAGCCACGCCTGGCCAGGCATACATGTTTAAATACAACCATGGGGTAGAAAAGATAAACCTGTTGGTTTCACTGAGAAGGTAAAGCAACTGAGTAAAAGTGAGGTTAAGTACTCAGGCTCAAAGCATCAACAAGGCCTTCTTCCTTCCAGGCAGCTTCTTCCTACAGCTAATGGTGAGGAGATTAGAAATTCAGCTTTGAAATCTAAGTTCAGTATTCTATTTACTAAACTACATTAGTCCCCAAATCGTTTTCATTTTTTCTCTCAAATCTAATTGTTAAATGTAATCTATGACCCTCCTTTCTGGATGTGTGGGTAGGACACCCTGCACACCTGGTAACTGCATGTCCAGCAGGATGCAGGGTGTCACAAGCACTGACACTGTACAGTCAGCAAGGGCCAAGGTTAACACTGAAGCCAGCTTTCGTAAGATTTCTGTCAATAATGACTTTAATATTCTGAAACAAAGTTTCACTTTCAAAAGTTTTAAAAAGAAAGGTGCTTGTACGTCAAAGGAAATGCTAATCGAGATACCGAAGACAAGAAAATTAAGCCAGCTTCACAGGCATTTCTAGGGTAAGAGGAGGAAGGCCTTGCTGATACTTTGGGAGCCCTGATCTGAAACAGAGGTAAGAGGATTTTCTCTCCTATGAAGATAAATAGACCTTGTGGCAGGCAGAATAATGCCCCCCACCCCATCCTAATCTCTGGAACCTGTGAATATGTTACTTTACGTGGCAAAAGGGATTTTGCAGATGTTAAATTAATGATCATGAGATTGGGAGATTATCCTGGATTATCTAGGTGAGCCCAATGTAATCACAAGAGTGCCTATATATGAAAGAGGGAAACAGGAGAGTCAGAGTCAGATGGAGCAGCCTGAGAAAGACTGGACCAGCCATGGCTGGCTTAATATATTTGGAAAGGGACTATAAACTAAGGCACGTGGGCCACCTCCAGAAGCTGGAAAAGGCAAGGAAGTTATCATTCCAAAAAATTACTGGAAGGAATGCAGCCCTCCAATACTTTGATTTTAATCTAGTAAGACCCATTTTGGACTTCTGTCCTCCAGAACTATAAGAAAATAAATTTGTGTGGTATTAAGCCACCAAATTTGTGGTAAGTTGCTCAGAAGCAATAGGAAATTAATACACCTCACAGAATTAAAGGCGAGAAGCATAGCCAGCATTCTTAAAGTACTGGTCCTTAAAATACTTTTGTGTTGAAACTTCAAACAGGTGATTTTCCATCAACTCAACTTAATGCTTGCTTACCTATCACATTTACAATATGGTTTCAAGAACATTAATTCAAACAAAGCCTGAAAATTTGTTTTAATGTACAATGTTCTTTAATAAAATGTAACATTTTTTAAAATGTGCCAGGAATTGAGCTAAGGATATTCACAGACTATCCAGGCTTAAAAAGTTACTAATAGGAAAGTATGCTTACATGAAATTATGTTTAAATGTGCCTTTATTCTTAGAAATCTAACTCACATTAAGTGAAAAAAATTAATGAAATTATGTCTAAACCTAATACATTTTCCTTAGAAGAGCTTCAAAATGAGCATTCAATGTATCAGAAAGGGAAACATAACAACCAGTCTAAATAGCTTCAAAGTCAAACTAAGATTTAATCTTAAACTCTTAATGAGAGTAAATATACCAGGTATGTATGAAGATGAAAAACAGATAAAAAGTAAACTTTTAATTTAAAAAATGATGTTATGTTTGTCAACACCAGCACAATCAGACAGAAATATAACAAGATTCACTTAGATAATTTAAAAAGTCCTACTAGCCACATTAATTCACTAGGTGAATTAATTTCAATAATGTATTTTATTTAACCCAATATATACAACATATTATTTCAAACTGGCATCGATATAAACATGCTATTAGTTTGAAATTGGTGCGCATTTTACACTTAAAGCACATCTCAATGCAGACTTGCCACATTTCAAGGGCTCAACTCGGCCACTGTACTGGACAATGCAGGTCCACATGCTTTATACTCTTACCTAAGGTTCTCAGTTCCCCAAGTCCTCCTATGGGAACAATTTGAACACTCCAGTGTCACATTAGTGATTACCAGCTATCTTAGCTGTCTTTTGGAAACTGAGGAATAATGTGTTTATCAGTTGTGGTTAAAGCTTCTTCCAAGCACAACAAAAATTTTATCACCTGCCTTGATATCATCAAGGGCATACAGGAGCCGAGTAACTGTCACCTTTTTAGTCTGGCCTCAGACTGCAATAAATAACAAGCAATAGGATAAGCATTGTAAAAGTATTTTTTATTTGTATAATCTTTGAATTTTTCCATCTCAGAAGAATGAGAAAGAAAATTTACCATGTAACTTTTTAGGGAGAAATCAAAAGCAGACGGTTCTCCTGGGTATGGCCAGAACACAGAAATTAAAAAATAAATAAAAGAAAAATAAAACTAAAACCCACAAAATGGTAACAAAAGAAAATAAACTAAGCCCTCTGGAAATACACATACAGTTAATTCAGTTTTAAATACAATGAAAAACACTTCACCTCAGCATTACCTGTCAAATTTTACCGAAAATCACAAAAGCTAACAGTGCAATTTCAAAGACAGTCTTTTGACCATTTTTTGAAAGAAACAATTCCCCCTTTCATGAAATCGAAAGCCAGGGAAATCGGCAAGAAATTCGAGCATATTACCTGTGCATGAGGAATGGAAATAGAGGTTTTATCTTCCCTAACTCCAGCCTAAACTTAAGCCTAACCCAAACCCAGACGGATCTCCATCATTCCAGAAATCCACCTGAGAGAAGCAACAACACATCAACTAAAAATTTCCTGGAAATCTCAGTAACTGCTGCTGTGCTCCACTGTGTAGTCCTTTCATCAACTTAATAATTGGCACTGTCTGAAGAAGTAAAGGGCTTCTATACATCCAGTATTTATAATACATACATGTCTGTTCAAGAGACGACTATACCAAAAGTATGTTGAAAAAACTTTATGGAAACTACAAATGTTAGATTATGCTTAATTCTTTATTTAATAAGCTTTATAACTATCACAAATTGTTAAGGGGCTGGGTGATAATGAACAGGATGGTGGGAAATCTGAATTTCAATGATGGGATAAACATTGAAAAGCAACAAATTCACAGGCTCTAAAAGTATCCAGCAGAGAATGCAAGGTCAAGAGCACTGGGGTTGAACGAGGCGACCCATATTTAGAGTTCTGTTTAAGATTCTATGTGAGAAAAAAGACTGGAAGGACATACATGAGAATATTAGTGAATATTCTCTTTAATGAGCTATGTATGCTTTTTTTCTACTTCTCATTAAGCATGTTTTCCTTTTATAATCATTTTTAAAAGGGTGCTTTTTAAAAGTTGTTATTCAAAGGATCTATAAGAAGAGCGACAATATAATTTACTGTCCAAACTGGCATATAAAGGAAAAAAGGGACATTAATAATAATTATGCTAAGACAACAGGTATAAACTGGGACTATCCTAGATAAACCAGGACATGCGGCTACTCTACCTATATCTTCTTGTTTACATTAATACTTTGTCATGAATGATGGCATTTGGAGAATCGATAAAGCTACATGTCTGTATAATCCTTTTCTAGATTCTGTTTGAGTACATTAGTTAATTTTTTGGCAGAGGTACCATTTTTCATCAAATATCCTAACTGAACATTTTCAAAAGGACAGTCTGTCTTTGTTTCAGTTAATCACAGAAAATTAAACACAGCTGACTTTATATTTATACAAAAGAGTAGGGAGTAAAAAGATTTTTAAAAACGACATGTATAGTGTGCACGTGTATGCATGTAAACAATATATATTCATCCCATAATCTAGGTAAACCAAATCCAGACTATGAAGGTCAAAGAAGGAAAAAGGAAAATAGTGAGCAACAAAGGAATAATTACTTCCTGGAGCACAGAAATCCTACTCTGCTGGCAAGCTGCAAAGAGAAGAGAGGCCGGCGGGGAGGGATGGGGGAGGGATGGGCACGGCAGCATCAGTGTCCACTTAGGGTTTTAAGTGGGTATATTCTAAGCCCCTGGCTGAAAGCCTCATTATGAAAAATAAGACATGGTAAAGAGCTGCTTTTTGTTTTGGAGCCATTTGGTTAAATACTGCTTTACATGTAAGTATTACTTGTCTCAGAATTAATTTGTGACTAGTTTTTCCATTACTGCTTCAAAAAAAATTCAGTGAAGCTAATTTCTGTACAGAAAACACTCTTAAAAGACTGAACAACTCTTAACTAAACAATTGGACCACATAAGTTTCCTTTTCTCGGGTTCAAGACGTAATTTTATAGTCAACCTAAAACATATTAGAAATGAGAAACTAACCTTAATTTACAAAAAGAAAAGTACTGGTTAATTTATCTTAGGTGGATTCTTGAAGAGGTACCTAGGTTTGACTCCAAGAGAAACCTCTATTAACGAGCCTCAAAACAGTTCCAGAGGGACCCGTTCCAGCAAAGAACTGTAGATAACAACAGTTAAGAAGGGCAAGGAGGAAGACAGGTTTTGTATCTGTCCTTGAAGGCGGGCTCAAGACAATCCCGAATTCTGTGCTTTGTTTGAAAACATTTACCAATTAGTAATAGTCTGTCTACTCTTCAGAAGCCCAAAGAAAAAGGGGCAGTGAAGACACAGCATAGAGCTGAGAGGAGAGGCATATGCTTTTAGATTCCCCAAAGAGAAGAGGAAGGTTTGTGTCATTTAAAAATCAAAATTACAGGGGATAAGCAATTGAATTGGGTAAATTTAAAAATCCTTGAAGTCAATGAAAGAAGCTTTAAGAAAGATCAATTTCCTTTGCTTCAAAGAATTCAATCAACTTATTTTCTTGGTAAGGAGAAAGTCCTCAATGTCTGATGAAATTATATTGGGCTTTCGGTTGTTAGAATCTTGTTAAGGATATTTCAAGTGCACACACTTAAAAAACAAAAACACTTAAACTGCTACTTTAGATAAACAGTGTAGCCAATAATCTCCACATATTTATTTTATATTCATGTGCTTCTCATCTCTAAACCATTGTCATTTTTTCACCTTGTATCTAAAAAGGTCACAAAAAATAAAAGTAAACTGTATGACAAAGAAATAGAAATCCATTGTGAGGAAATTACAAACATAAATAGTTTTACTGGTTACAGTTTGAATTGATTTCACCTTAAAAATACTTACCAAGTAAGTGCTGGAGAAAGCTCGGTATAGGCATAGTAATCTTTTTTGTTTTAACTGAAAACTGGAAGCTTAGAGTATAAATACCTCTTTAATATTAAAAATTATTACAGTCAGTATTAAACACGTTTAGTGCTGATACAGTCTATAAAGAAAGGGAACAGCGATCAGGAGCATCAGAACATACACTTGTACCGGTACAGATGGGGCAGCAGGTATAGATCATTCTGTAGATATGTGGTATTAATTCCCAAAGTGTGGGGAATTTGGAATAAGAAATTGGAGAGAAATAAATACTAAGTTAAATAAAGCAAATAAATGAGTTTTCTCAAATAATATTCTTAGAGATTTAATCATGGCCAAGGGCTATTTTCAAAGTTCAGTAGAGCTGACCAAATGAAAATTAATTAAAAAAACCAGTCTTACCTAAAAATGCCAGTAAACTGAACATAGCAAGGTAAATATTTGTAAGCCTGGCCACAGGTGACTGTGTCTGTGGGGTGTATTTAATTTAATTTGTTGAGGAGGAGGAAAACTTTCAAGTAAAACTTTCCAAAATTCAATTAATCAAACCTTCTCCAATAATGCCACTGTAGGACTTTACCATTTACTCATTCCTAAAAACACCGCTGCTTATTTTAGTGTATAAAAATTCTGAATCATACAGATTGGGAATTTAACAGTAAATTATTAAGGGAAAATAAATTTTAATTAAAAATCTCAGTTCTTATAGTGAACACATTTAGAAGAGAATATACATCAATTTGTACACTGTTAATTCTTTCATTTTTATGCAAAAAAAAGTCACTCACTGTATTTGGATCAAAGTGACTACATTCTGCAGCTGGCCTACATGGGTTTCCCTTAAAGGAGGAACTCAGTTCCCAGAGAAGCCCTGAGTCACTGAGCTCCCTGTACCTAAGCCTTGTCTAATTCATTGGGAAGAGAGCAAGCCAACTGAATAACTGAAATATTAAATTGGTTCTAAGTATGTCATTTCATAGTTTGATTTTTAAAAGCTGAATTGTTCTGAGACTTCAGAACAGAACTTTCACAGAACTTCACTTTCATCGGTCTTCTCTCTTTTACTTTAACGTGCGAAGCTTAGGGCAAACTGGCATCTGATGAAGGACTGGTGTCTCCCATGTCCTATTTTCCTGACTGCCACACTCTCCCCTCCAACTTCTCTTGCTTCCATCCCATCACTCTCCCGATTTAAGTATCTAGATACAGTTTGGCCATGTGGCAGCTTATTTTTAAAGATAATCTAATCCAAGCTAGATAGCTGGGGATACTTTTTGCAGGCTTGAAGAACAGTGTAAGTCTTCTGATTACTTACTGTTTAAAATAAAACAAAACCAAAAAGAAACAAAGCTGACTTAATGCTGAAATGGAGCTTACCTTAGAGCCGCGTTCATTAAAGATTATTTCTACATCTAGGATTTTGCCAAACTGCTGCAGAAACAAAAATAAAAACATTTGTTTATGGTCAGCTTTTATCCACATACTTTACTTTCCTCTAAAAAAGAAACAAACCCTCCGCCCCCCATACTATCTATTGTCCATGTTTCTATTTGTCTGTAGGTCTGAATACCAGTTTCCGAGTTTTCCATGTCCCTGAGCTGCTAACCCCTCTGTTTCTGCTCCTTTCTCAATTCACTCACTCAGGCATCACCCCTGTGGTGGGAGCTGTCTACAGGACACATTCGGTTTCCCTACCACATGTGTCTCCGCACGGGCCAGAGCTAGGGATGCTCCCCACTGTATCTCTGATTTTCCACCTCTCAGTTTTTGGAAGTAAATCCTAAGTAGAAAGACTTGAAGGCTGTTTTGCTTCCCTTTCTTTTTTTCTTTAATTTATGAAAGTAAATCATGTTCACTATAAAATTAGAAAATATAGATGAAAAGGAAAGGGGAAGCAGGAAATGAGTATCACCCGCAGTCCCACCCGCTCAGGTGTGGTGCACAGCCTTTCCGGCTATTCCTTAGGCACGTACTGTTAAAGAACTATTCCCACATAGTACTCTTATTTATTTATTTATTTATTTATTTATTTATTTATTTAGCTTAATATACTATGAACGACTTTCCAAGTCAATAAATTTCTATAAGTTACATGCTAATTTCCATTATACTTAAACATTCATGGACACTATGTATGATCCCATTTATTTGCCACTTTAATCTTTCTACAATGAATGTGATCAAGAATATTTTAAATAGTAACTATTTCGTAATTAGTTAAATATTTTAACATTTGGAAAATCAAACGAAGCTAAAACCACAAAGGCTAAATAGCTCTATTGTTAAGCAGCTAAGAGCTGACAAGGGGGTCATACACAACACAGTAATTGTTTGGAGAGGATGTGTATACAGTGACAAACTACCTGTCTTACTTAATCCTTGTATAAACTGCACTGAGGAGATGTGCAGGTGATATCTTTTTAGCTCACACTTCTCTCTGAGTACTAAACTCATATATCCAATTATCTATTTTACTTGGGTTTCAAACTAGACTTTGGGAAATGTGCAAAAACTAAAAAATAAAAAGAGCAAACAGAAATCATGCTTTCTCATTAGGCTAAAACATTACTATCTTTATAAAAAACATGTATTAAGAGCCCAAGTTTTCTAGAATAGGACTTCTGGGCTTGCTTCCCGTTTATTATAGAAAAAAATCAAGGAAAGAGAAAAATGTCTTATTTTAGATAGAAGGGCATTTTATTTTTTTCTTATACCTATCCTATAAAACTAAGATTTGTAGGGTGTTTTAGAGTTTGCTTTCTTTTAAGTTTTCTACTGCATCCTTCTAGCATCCTTCTAAAGTAAGGACTGCTTTCCTTTTGTGGTTAAAAAAATGAGGCTGAAAGAAGCTATTTGTCAAGTTCACAGAGCTGATAAAATGGAGCATGAAGTCCCTGCTCTTTACCAAAGCAACTGTCATTCTATGTAATGGGTACTAACCATGTGGAAGGAGACAGAGCAACCAGGTACCCCTTGCAAAGAAATTGAATTTTTGTGCACTCAGTGCCTTGTGGGAAGGGTATAATACATTTCGAGAAATCACTGCTAAGTGGCCTAGGCAGATCCCCAATGAACACGCTTCTGACAAGAGAATGCATTCCATTTTCACAGAGCCCCAGAGAGTAAGATTCCATATTATCTCTGACAATTCAGCAGAGAACCTAATAACTCATACTCCCAGGAAGTTTCTTCTCAAATGTAACCTAAATTCTTTATGCTGCCCTTTGTATCTTCTGTTGCGCTCTTTTCTGTAGAGAAAGAGACCAGCTGGCTACCATCTTCTGTGTAAAAGCTCTCTTCAAGTTCTTCAAGAACATCGCTAAATCTCAACCCTGGTCTTGCCTTCAGTGCGCAGTACACATCCAGGTAATCAGCTATAAGTGACAGAACACTGTCTTGTCACCATGAAGTATCTAAGACTTCAGGAAGGGGAATTGCTTTTCTGACAAAGCACCAGGCTGTGATACTAATAAAATTTTTAAAAACCCAATTACCTCTTAGTCCTAGATCAAGTTAAGAGCTTGCTCAAATTAAAACAGGCAACAACACAATATAAACCCAGAAAAATATTAAGATGCTCAGCAGTATTCACTACCCAATAACTGAAATCTTTGCTATTACACTTTGTTTTCATGACTGAGTTTGGGAAGAATTAAGCAGCTGGAAGAACACATCAGAGTAGCAAACTAAACCCCATACCTGATTTTAGATATTAGTCTTAATACTGCTGAATTATAAGCAAGGAAGTAAAAACAAAACACAGGTAATATTACTTTATTTAATTTGTAACACTCTGAAAGGTACGGATTCCTTTCTTGCCCTGATTTTAGCACTGAAAGTCTCATGTCCCAAGCAAATGGTCACCTTATTTACGTGAGAATTTGCAAAGCTGATGTGCACTAGACAGGTGACAGGAAAAGTTTCTGATGAAAATAAATATTTACACCAGCATCTTTCTCAATCTATCTGTAGTTTTATCCTAAAGTACTGATGACCAATTACACCTGGTGGATTAAATTATATTTTAATTATAAACCCAAAAATGGAATTCAGAGACTTACCCCAAACATCTGCCGGAGGTCGGGGTCCCGGAAGCGGAAAGGAATATTAGAGACATGCAGCCGTTTAGGGGTAGATTTACTCTCTGAATTTTCACTACTTTGTGTCTGTGACTGCTGGCCGTCTGTCTGTGCTCCCCCTTCTGTCTGCTAAGCAAAGAAATAACAGTGAGTAAAAAATAAATATAATTACTTCACAAAAATTTGTAAAATACAGTCCTCCCACACTCCAATCATTCTCAAACAGTATGTCTTTAAGCAAAAATTAGTTGTCCTATGAGAAAAAAACAAAACAAAGTTATTATCTATGTTCAGAACACTGTAATTTACAAATAAAAGTCAGGTTTTTTAATATCTAGAGTATATTACTAAAATGGAAGAAACAGAAACGCTGAGTTACTTGCCCAAGATCACATGGAGATGTGTCAGGGTAACGGAAGATACAAAAACAGTGCTGTTACTCTTAGATTCTTAGTAGAGCTTTCTATTTTTAGGATGTTCATATTTGACAATGAAGAGTCTGTTGTATTAGCTCTGAAGATTGCTGCATTTTTGGTCTATCATTTCAGGAAATAAGAAAATTTTAAAATATTTCATTTCTTCTATTAGTTCCCGAGTTTACAACTAGTAGGTTTACCAAGTATAATTTATGCAGAGGAGACACCTGGTGACAATGGTCACTTAACTTAGAAACTGAAGAAGCATCTTCCTCTGAAAGCAGCCTGCGCTTTCCTCCCTAATCCCGCTTCCAGCTAACTCTGGCAGGCGCCCACCTTTCGCAGCCCAGAGCAAAGCTGCGCTGAGAAAATGTCTGGAAAGGCTTTAAGGGAGTCTGACTAATCCACCACACACAGAAATGAAAGATCTGTGTAGTGTGTGAGTGTGAGGGGCATTTTTAATCATGAATCTCTGAAGCATCCCAGGCTTGTGTTCATCTAATTTTTCCCCCAATCAATCCTCAAAAACGTCAAGAAACACTTTTGACAAATATCTAACGGCTGTGACACAATCTTGCAGCATTTGCCTGGCAATCCCAGAAGTGTCGGTCTCACTCTTCACCAGGAGGCGCGTGCCAGGCCAGACGGCAAGCTGAGCTAGTTAAAACCAACACACTTTCAACAGGAGTGGGAGCCACTGTTCTTACTCTCTCAATAGGTTAGAACCGAGTCCCTCACCAGTTCTGCTGGGTGACACAGAACAAATCCCCTCCCTTTGACCCAATGCTCAACTAAAAGAAACTGTGAATCAGAGACACTTTTCTAGAAATGTTAGCAACCGTCATGAAGTGAAGTTTGAGACTTTAAAATACAAAGGATAATCAGGAATAAACTCCAAATGAATACTAGCTTTTCAAGTGTCAATCTGAGTGATGGCAGCTTTTATCTCATTCCATTCAGGCCTTGCAGATGGCTTAAATGTGCAATGATTCATGTGATATAAAAATAGCAGAAAAGGGAAGCGCCATGAAGCAATGTTCTGCGAAAGTGTGAGGTTTTCAATCACCAATCTGGACACAATGCAGACTAAACAAAACAAATTCCATCCAAAGAAGAAACTCACTAAGTTACTAAAACAGCATCATGGATACCAAAGCAAAAAGCATGAGCATCAATTGCAACGAATGCTTATCAAGAACCTTCAACCCTGCCTCTTATATCTCACAGCTGGATCACATAAAAGTTTATTGAATCAAACTTTAAAAGCACCAGCTCAGGTCTGCAGGATATCAGAGTATCACTCCAAAAAAGTAAAAAGACTGATCCCAGCTCCAAACCAGTTTTATATATAATTTATATACGGGTGGGCAGACGTAGGTTTATAGTTGTTCATATGAAAAATGCAGTAATTAATAAATAATAATACAAGAATAAACTCTTCTGCGAGCTCACAACTGTAAACCTACGTCCCCCCCTCCCCCTGTGTGTAGTCCCTGTAATCGTAATACTGTATGTGAGATGACAGGATAAATGGAAACTAATGACTACTTCAAAGAATATTGCCCAAGCTACTTATTTGTTGCTTCTGAGTTTTTTACAGCCCTGAGACAGAATTTAAGAAAGGTCAGAAGCCAGGCTGGTTAATTTTCCGGCGCTGTAGTGAACACCTACTTTTTTTGTATTTTCCGACTCAGCCTTGCCTACCGCAATCAGACAGGCAGAAAGCTCGAGTGACAACCCTTTTTGCTTGCAGCTGCACTGGAACCTAACACCTACATTTTTTAGAAGTATGAAATAATTTTTTTAAATCCTCACCCAGGGATATGGTTTTTATTGTTTTTTAGTGATATTTTGAGAGAGAGGAAGGGGGGTGG